ACATAGTTTTTTTATTTATTAACCTCTTATAAGCAAGTTAATTGCTTGATAATTTTAAGTTGTACATCTTTTTCTTAATTCATATCAAAACTATATTTTATCATTACAGCTTCGTGAATTAGTCACTGTATGTATACAAAAAGAACCAACGAATAGACCAACTATTACACATATTTATAATATAGCTAAAGAGATGCATGAATTACTTAATGGAAAGATTTCCACCTCTCCTTCATGTTCTCAACTTGATTGTCGACCATCTTCAGCCATTACAAAATAATACTGTTCATCTTTATTTTCCTCTACATCGAATATATACAATTGATTAATTATATTTATTGTCTTTCAATCTTTTCTTGAAGACCATATCAATAACACCTGAATATGAAGATGTTTCTTTTAAGATATAACACAAACAAAAGAATAAAATAAATTCACTTAAACTGCTGTCTAATACAAGAATGTATAATTGACAATTTATTTTTTAAATATTCTCATACTACTGAATTCAAAATAATATTGTGCTGATTCAAATTGAGTTTGTTTTTGTTTAGAAGAAACATTTTTTCTTGCCTTCTCCTTCTTTTTTTTCTTTAATTATTTTGTATCATATCGTAGTAATTTTTAGTTTTGTATTGAAAAAGAAAAGAAAAAGAAAAAATAAATAACAACCATGAACAATGAACTCATTTGAATAGTTTCTATTTACTTTTCATTAGAAATAGTTTATCATAAATGAGAAACTTGTTTTCACTTATGTAATCACATATCATTTATCAGTTATGTAACAAAACTTCCATTCATTCTTTCGTATTGTTTTGTTTTGTTTTGAGAAAATTTCATGAATTGATTGCCTCCATTATTATTATTCCATTACATTTTGTTAATATTAATTTCTGCTTTCATATTAGATTTAGATAAATAGAATTTTATTCTTTGATTATAATTTATAAAATGAATTAATGTTTTCATTATGTAATTCATGTGATGTCATTGTGAAACGGTTTACTCAAATGAATAATGATATCCTCTATGAATATTGTTATCATAGTTTAAGAACTGAAATGGATTAGATATGTTTATATGAGGTGATAAAATAAGTTGAATAAGAAAGATTAGTTAAGCAAAGAGTTCTCTTTTCAGGGCGAATTCATTTTCAAAGCTGTACAATCGCAAATATACATATACTTATTTTTACAGAATGATAATATTAATGATAATAAACTTCTGTTATACATGTTTACAGTGAGGTTAAATAAACAAAGGTATTAAAGAATTCCTAAACAACGAAAGTTTAATAATCGTTTGATTGTTATTGGTTTAAGTATTCATCAAAAGATAGATAGGGAAATTATCATTGGGAAAGGATGGCTCAGTATGATAAAATGAAATGTTGAAACAGAGAAGAAATGTAATCGGAATGATCGTGGAAATAAAAACAAACCAATTGGTGGTAGAAGACTTAAAGGGAAGATGGAAGGTGAAGCAGATAGCTCTAAAGGAACAAGAGTATGAAAAAGAAAGAAAATTTTAATACATTAAGACCATGGTAGAGGTTGTACCACTCTCTTTTGCACACACAATTCTGGTTTTTCCAAATGTATGGCTATTGCTTCGACAATGCAGAGAAGATGCAGTCCGATTTTCTTAGGAAGGCTTCTACTTACCTTGTAGATGACTTTGAACGCAGAGTCTGTCTTGATTGAATGACCTGTGTTCACAAGGTGTTCGATTATAGAACTTCTTATTGAACCGTAGCCTCCTCTTTTTAGCCACTCCGGATAATGTTCTTGAATGCTTTTGGAAACTAACTTTTACATTGTATATTGTTAATTTATGTGATATTGTACTTGTTATCATTTCAGAATAAAGTGGATAGAAACTATAATTCATAAATAGAAAAACCAGTAATAATTTGAAAACTAGTCTTAAGAATATTTTAATTACAAAATATTAAAGGCTTCATAAATAAAACACTAAATAGTTGCTTTATTTATATATGACGTAATAGTTAAGATGAAGCTAAAGCCTATTTTAATGGTCTAACAACATACAATCTATACATAATAGAAGCATCTTGTTTAAATACGTTATGTAAATAGCAAAAACTATATTAGAGATGATCAGATTAGATTCAGTTCGAAAACAGCATAGATTCATGACAATTAAATTATTTTTTAATAAGTAATTTAAACAAAAGCAAATTTTTTTACTGAACCTAGAAACTATCGATTAACCTATTTCTCAAGCACATGTATAGTTTGCAAAATATAGTTAATTTGTGGTGTGTGCTACTTATATTGACATAAGTAGTATATGATGTTACTCGTGAACAGAATGTCTGGCAGCAGAGAGACAAGAGGATCAAACAGTAAAGAATGGAGACAGGATGTAATTTGTATGAAAATGCAAGAACAATGAAGTTTGAGTCATTTTGAGACAATTCGTGAACATTTTGCAAATCAAGCATTTACTTTATGATTGTTAGATTTTATTAAGAAGTCCTGTAATTTTGTGTCAAATACATTCGGTTGTCCCCACCCGTGTTCTATTCACTACAAATTCTTTATATTCGATGCTTTCTCTTTGACTAGTTATAATTTGAGAAATTTATTCGTGAGACTATAATTTATGGACGACCTTTGAGCGATACTCGAGTGACTTTGAAAATGTCCACCTAATAACTAGGACCAAATGAGTGTTATAAACCAGTGTGGGGAATTAGATATATGATTTAGAGTTGATGGTTAAGGTTAGGAATTAGATTTTGGGTTTTCATCACGAACTAATATAAGCTATAATGCCAAAATTCTATTTAACCAAACGAACGAGTGCATTTTGCGCCAAAATTCGAGACCTGTTATCTTATACTTGATTGGTTCGTCCATAAATTATAGTCTTGCCATTTGTTCATTTTGAGTTACTAACGTAATTTAGAATTTGAGGAAATGAATTTTCCACTGATAAGGTATAAGTGGTTTAGAATGTACACATTATTAAGAATTGAATTGTTAACAGGTTTTTTTTATAAATGCTTGGAATGACAGTTCTAGAATATTTAATAAGAAAACTTTATTACATGATATGACAAAAATCTAGCAAACTTAGCAAGAAGAAACACATGTCAGTTAAACGCGTTAAAATTTCACTGTAATTAACTAAAGAACAAAATTCAAGAAAAAAGTGTGAAAATGCTTTGGCTACCAAGACAGATAAAGGTGAACTTCGGACATTTCTTGAGTACAAAGGTCAAGTTGAAGTCTTCTAATTACTCTCAATTCTATAAAGTTTATTAATGTAGATCTGAATTATTTACTGTTTAAGTATCGTTTCAAATTATGTTAGTAATTCGAGATAACTAGGCCTAATAGCTTGGCTGTAACGAAATACAGAGAACACAGTGAATATTGTAGTTTTCACTTTATTTAAATTACAAATGTGTCAGAAGTTTAATACGTAAAACGGTCTGACAGGTAACGATGATAAATATATAAATGATGCTAGAAACATGACTAGCAGCCATCTTACAGTATGCCATGTTATATAAGTATAATAAAGACTGGCCGAACACTATCCACTACAATTACATGAATAAGTAATTGTGTCTAGGATATTCCCTTGAATTCTAACTATCAGTAGGAATATATTTGAGACAAGTTCAAACATAATTGGTTACAAATGTAGAGTTGTTCATAGATAATGTAGATAATGTTACTTTTAGAAAATTAAAGTATATCATAAGAGATTGTGTATACAGTTAACGTGTTAAATAGATTTACATTACTGAAATCTCATGTCACTTTTACTGTTGTTGATATATTTTTGACTGAATTTTAATATTCCAAATCGGATTACGAATCAATAAAAATTGACTTGGTATTGTTTGCTTGTGAATTTAAACTTCACCTCATTGAACAAAAGGCGGCTGTCAGGACCCTGTAGCTAAATGGATGACGTGATGGAGTTTGAAGTGAACGGTGCTGGGATCGAGTTCCCGAATGGACATTAACTCTGGGATGCAGGCACACCCGGCTGACGAGTCTCAGAAAGGACGAAGCGCGCATCTTGGATTTCACTGCTAGCCACCATCTATCTTTGTTAGTAAAAATTGGTTTAGAATTTATACCCTTGCATAAGTGAATGGCTACACTGACTCAGTAGCTAACTTGATTGAGAGTTAGCTTTCTGAAGATAAAGGTACTGGGTTTAAATCCTAGCGTGAACATCAACTTCAGGATGCAGATATATCCAGGTGACAGGTCCCAAAACTTGTGTCTTAATTTCCACTATCAACCATATCACCTAATTTAGATGGACCGAATTCACTTAACAATTAACTCGCACGATTCTTCATTAACGTAATTTAGTAGAAATGACCATAGAAATATGAACAAATATATAGGTCGCTAATTAATCAAAATTCTAAGATTATGTCAATTAATCCTATGATTAACGGCCATGATATACAAATACTCTGCTGAGAATTGATTCTTACCGACATAGCCTAAGTAAATGTAAACTTCACTGTCAGTAAGCATCAGTGCTGAACAACACGCAACCGAATACATGTAAATAATCTTTTAATAGAGTAAAATATAGGTATATTGGAGTCCTATCGAAAGAATCAATGATGACTGTATTTCATTTATTTTGCTTAAAGGTGTCGATGCAGCAGAGACATCAGTGACTAAAACTAAATTCTTGTTAAATAACACCGGAGTGTATCTCGAAAACTTCACGATGAACCCGTTATTCAACAGTAGTCTAGTGTTTGTAATTGTTTACTCGATCGAAAACTGGCATATATAAACAATAGACAGTGTGGTTAAGTCAGCTGCAGGTTTTGATATTTATTTGGCAGGCCACGTAATTTATAAATCCTATTTTAACGTTACCAGTACCTTTTTCACTATGTAAGTGTTTCGAAATTGATTTTAGTTCGTAAGTCACATGTCTAACCAAATATAACTGGCCAATACAATTTTACTTAGATCGAACAACACTCCTTATTTAAACAATAGAATTCACAACTTCATTCGACCAAAGAAAAAGGTGTTCACAATGGGAGTTAATACTGAGGACAAAAAAGTTGTCTTCTTACCAGTTGATGCCAGTGATCATTCTGCTCGAGCGTTTCAATGGTATCTGGATAATTTAAGAGGGGAAAACGACGAGTTACACTTTTCATTTGTCATTAAACCAATATTTACAACACCAACAGTTGAACTGGCTATGGCATCTTCACCAATAACCGATATTATGCAGTCAACACAAGAGAACATTGAAAATGCAAAGAAACTTTTACAAAAATACTTGATAAAAGCAAGGCGTTTTGGTATTTCTTGTCAAGCATTTGTTCATGTACATGCTAAACCTGGACCAACTTTGGTTAAATTCGCTGAAGAACAGAAAGTAGATATTATAATAATGGGATCCAGAGGACTTGGTTTGATTGGCCGTACATTACTTGGCAGTGTTACAAACTACGTAATGCTTCATACAAAAACTCCATTGGTAGTTATACCTCCTCCAGTAAAATAATTCTTATCTACTGCTGTTTCAATACTATCTGCACTCATTAACCGAGGATAGCTTCTATTATTTTGAAACAAATTGTCTGTATGTCATGTAATTGCGTATAATATTTTAATCCTTTCAGTGATCGTTCTTTTTTATAGTTTTTAAGTTTACATCAATTATGTGACTGTGTTTAGTTTAAAACAAAGGAGGTTTTTGATGTTACAAAGAATGTGATTAAAACTAAAAGAATATTTTAATTTATTAAGCACAAATACTTATAAATTTGTACAACGATCTCGTACATCTACAAAGGCATGTTAACTCAGATTTATTACATAATCGCTTAAATATAGTAAAACATACAAACATACAACATCCATTGAACAAGTAATGTGCATCATAAATTTCTAACCTACCAGTGCTTGAAGTGATAAATGTTTGATTACAGTTAGAATGGTAAGATTAGGTGGTATGACTTTGTATTTATAATAGTTTGTAAGCATATACTTTTTTAAACTAAGCATCCAAACAAGTAATATTTTAGTAGAATTACATTCCACATTACGGCGTGCCTGAGAAGATGGTCAATATCATACAGAATTCCTATGATGGATTAAACTGCAAAATCGTACATGGAGGACAGTTGAAAAACTCGTTCGAAGCAAAGACCGGTGTCAGGCAAGGTTGCTTACTCTCACCCTTTCTCTTTCTCCTGGTGATCGACTGGATCAAGAAGACGTCAACATCTGAAGGGAAGCATGGGATACAGTGGATATCTAGGATGCAGCTGGACGATCTAGACTTCGCAGATGATCTGGCCCTCCTATCGCAAACGCAACAACAAATGCAGGAGAAGACGACCAGTGTAGCAGCAGCCTCAGCAGCAGTAGGTCTCAATATACACAAGGGGAGAAGCAAGATTCTCCGATACAAAACAGCATGCAACAATACAAACACAACTGACGGGGAAGATCTGGAAGATGTAGAAACCTTTACATATTTGGGCAGCATCATTGAGGGAAACGGCGAATCTGATGCAGATTTGAAGGCGCGGATCGGCAAAGCAAGAGCAGCATATTTACTACTGAAGAACATCCCGAACTCAAAAAAATTGTCAACCAACACCAAGGTCAGGATTTTCAGTACAAATGTCAAGACAGTTTTACTGTATGTGGCGGTCACTAGTTATACAGTTTGGTGCATCATAAAAGCATGTTCAGTATCTACTGATCATCATTGCTACTTTACAGGCTTGCAGTGCGTTGAGTCGTTGTATAAAGCATTTAATGTATAGCACAGAACAAAATTTACTGAATTAACACAAATGTAGATGACGTGGGTCGGATGAAGGTTTCTTATAATATTCAGGTATGCAATCAACTTTTCATTTCTTGCAAGCGATAGGATACACCGTTTAGGATTTGGTTTTTTCTTTCGGTAAGATGACTGAAAATAGCCTCCACGAAAAAAGTAATAGTGTTGTGTGCTCTTAGTTCGGCCACAAGATTCACAAAAGCATCTGCAACTAGAAAGAGGAAAACGAAACCAGAGATGATGTTACAAAACAAAGTCACTGCGATGGCTTTAAATTTATCTGTTCTTAGTTATTAAGACTCATAAAGGAGGTTCTCTTAACTGACCTGTTGTTCAAAATACAAAATAAACGATGCAAGTACAGTAAAGTTTGTGATTAACCAAGTGTGACGTTAGTTATTCATAGAGTAAAAACATAAGATAATAATATGAAAGATATCGTTATCATTATATTTATTTATAGGCATTCATACATTTTACACACTCATATTTTCACTGGTCAACAGTGTTTTAAACGTTGGTGTAAGTGTTCTTAAGACAGTGTCGGGAGAGAGACCATTATTGATTTATTATGTACATATTCGTAATTAGTTGGTTTCACAGGTAGACCACGGCAAATTATTCGAAATCCTTAAAAATTTAGTTGTAAACAAATTCTCTAAGATAGTGGATTTATATTGAAAAGTCATCTCCTATGGTAATGAGAAACGACTGATGTAACCCTATGATTCTGTACACTGAATTGCACGAATAAATGTTAAGGATAATTTATTTCAAATTTTGAAGAAAAAGACTATATTTAATTAAAGGTGCTATTTTCTTAAAGGACCAAGTCTCAGCTTAGTACATCTGGATTTTTAGTCTAATGTGTAATCGGTCCCAGAAATACTAAATTTAAGAAAGCAAAACAGAATGAAATCCTTGGTTTGAATACTTCTAGGGATGAAAGTGAAGTATTTTAGTGGTGATTGAACACATACTTTGTAAAATAAACTGGGTAGTTGTTGCGGAGGTCACATAGTTTACAACCCTGAAGTCAGGATGTTATGAATACGCGTATTAAGATAACTCGAGGAGAAAAATTGTAGGAATAATTGCGTCTCAAATCTACCATTTAGTTGAGACCGACAGTAAATTTACAATTAAATTGCAATGAAATCGGTAACATTCTTCTTCAGAGAACTGTAAGGAAAGGGGTTTCCCATATTTGTTTTAAATGTATGATGTCAGTCTGAACCTCTGGGTTCCAAGAATTTCGGCTGTGCATAAATGTCATATTCTCTATGCTTTACTTATTCGCTGGACTGTATTTGTGAGCTTTCAGAGAGGGCATTATTTCGAGCAGATAGTGTGGTTAAGCAATGTGATGCTCTCCGTTTCATCTCCGTCAATCAGGTATGGGAATATTCATGAGTTTGGTTCGTTTGATATGGTTAGTTCCTCAGGACCAACGTGAATCTATTCAAAGTTATCACTTATATATAACCGTTTGGGTCAGTCCGATTATCTATTTATGCATATAAGTTGTAAATATAATTGTCCGAGCATTAGTAACAAAGTTTTCAACACTGTTTTTAGTCAAACGTCTATATTGTCGTGGAACAACTTACCATTAGACTATGTAATTAGTTTAAAAAATAATTTATTCCAGAAAAATTCAGAATATAAACACCTTATGTATAGTTTACACGAATAATTGATTGATCCAACTTAGGGACAAATGTTCGTATAAATTATACCTTGTGACATAGTAATTAGGGTCAATAATTATTTGAAACAAAAATCCAATCATTAAAATCAATGACCAATCAATTCTTGTTTGTGAGAGTACAAACACGTCACATTTATCACAAGATCCCCATAAATGCACCCATACTTCCCAAGATGAAATTGTTTACATGAAATCGGTGATTACTATCCATTTATTGTTATATTTATAATAAGATTATTGTATTTTAGTAAACTTATGTATTTGCCATCTCATAGATACTTGGGTGGACAAATTTAAATATTTAACCACAGGATGATGAACTGTAATATTTTACTCTTGAGAAGATACACTAATTGGATTAAAGATATTTGTCTATGGGAGAATACAGAATATATTTCAAAAATGTGATATTTATAAATTAATTTGATCAAGCATTGACTGTTTATTACATTTTAAATGACAGTAAGGTTAAATTTAATTCATAAAAATGTCTAGATAGAATAAATTTAACTGTTGTTAGTGCTCTGTTAGTGTAAGTTCAAAAGCCTTAATGCTAGTGAAGATTGAGTGGGAACTGAAATTCATATATTAACATGTGATTGATTGTTTTATTCATCAATGATAATAATTAATTGTACACCTTTTCATATGTATGATATTGATTTAATGACTTAATCTGCAGAAAGGTCCGGATAATCGGACCACAACATATTGATTTTTATGACATAAAATAACCAACTTCTTTTAAACTTCAAATTTATTATGACAACTGGTGATTACTTACTATTTTCTCTAGCTATTTGTAGATATTAACTCTTCACTAATTAGATGGTACTACTTCTCTCTTAGAATTAGTTTACAAGGACATATAAATGAACAGTGTTATTTAAAACTAGATTCTATTCAAGCTCTGTTCTAATATGTAGTTAAAAATAGATACATAGAGATACGTAGAACGTAAACGAAAATACATTTTATAATAAACTTATTTTTAACACTAATGATAAGTCTTCTTGTGCTGGTAACAAAATTCAACACAGTATTTTAAAATAAGCAAATATTTCAACCTACAGAGTACCCAAAACTGAAAAATTGTCCCTAGGCTTTGCACATTAAAATGATCAAATTGAGCGGTTAGAAATAGTTACTAAAGAGTTTATTAGGTATGTAAACAGCTGCTTCTTTCTAGTATAGAACCTCTCAATAGTACTCACCACTCTGCTTTTAAAGATCCGCCAACTGATTTTAACTAGTAGCAAACATTACCCATAAATTAATCTCCCCAAAACTTGTTTGATACTACTATAGTCGTACTCACATTGAGAAAAGTTCCTGTTTTTCTAGTTAAGAGTGACGAGCGGAGTTCAAATACGAGACTGAAACAGTTTACGCCAATTACGATGAATGATCTTCGAGCTATATAATAAACTGACTGATGTCGGGAGTGTGTACAATCTGATATCCATCCAGCAGTGTAACGGTTAGGTACTTGTCACGAGACCTGAATCCTATGAGTTGGATCTCTGAATAGGTCGTGAGCACTCGTGAAGTCTCATTCAAGCAATAACCAAGAAGAATAGAAACCTTAAAATTGACTAAATTTACCAGAGCCATATCTAGTCTTCTTTTCGAAAGTTTGATGAGACTACTTTACTACTACTAGTAGTAAAACAAATTTCTCAAACATGTAGTTGTTGTCTCATCCCATCAAGACGTCGACTGAATCAGTTAACATAATAAGCATAAGATGAATTCTCGGTTCAATGAAGATGACGAAACGAAATCACAACAGAAACTTACTCGAATAAAGTTTCAGGCATCACCCAATTAGTCTGACGATTATTTGTTCAATGAGGCCAACGTAGAAATCTTAATTTCAAAAAATAACGTAACAGAATTCAATGTTGAGTTTGTATGGATTGGAATAGGTGGTATCTTTTGTTCGGTTATATTTGCTGATGTCAAGAGTATCATATCCTTTAAATTCTTCTTGGTACCTAACCATTTAAGACGAAGAAATGTTACTATGTTTACTTTCTATGTTTATGCATTTAATTTGAATATTTTTCAGCAAACTCCTATTTATTTATTTAGTATCAAGATTGTGATGGATTTATGAACCTACATGAACTTGTGGTACCAAGTATATAGGGAGGACTGAGAGGACAGTATATACATGTTTTCCTCGACATCTATGCCTGAAAGGAAGTGTTCACAAGTATAATTACTAGAGCTTTAATGGACAGTAGGCAAACATTGATA